ACAAGGCTTCCCACTTTGTCAGAGGGACAAGACTAACTTTCAGTTCATTGCTTTCCTTTGTTCTGGTCTTTTATAAAATATGCTACAGAGGTAAGCCTTGGGAAAGATAGCCTTCCCCCATCCTCCCAGATTACTGTTCTCTGAATGAAGTTTAAAGATTTGATTCCCTGTTCTTTGTTAATTGTGATATAAACACACACACACACACACACACACACACACACACACACACACACACCAAACAAACAAGTCCTGCCCTGTCCCCCCTCAAAAAAAAAAAAAAAAAAAAAAAAAAAAAAAGAGCAGTATTTACTCCTAGGAAATAGCACAAAATGGCAGTGATAAAGGGACAAAACAAAGCTCCACACTGTCATCCTCAGTAGCTGAAAGAGTGTTCCTAACACTTTAGGGACTTCAACTAAAACAGGATATGTATGACTTGGATGTATAACAACTTCAATTGTAGTCAGTATATAAAGCAGAGTTATGGAGTTTAATAGTTATTTTAAAATAGGCCTGGGCATGATGTTTAAGGGAGACACTCAGAGGACAGACAGATATGGGAGTGTGGGAATGGGAATATCAAGGAAGAGACACAGAAGTAAGACACACCCACATATAAGTGGGTACAGGTCCTACAGGAGAGTCACATTCAATCGTCTTAATACTAGCTATGGATACCACTTTGCTGGCTCTCAAGTTTCATCTGAAAAGTTGTTAAGAAATCTTTATTTTCTTCTTCATCTGTTTTTTCCTTTTTAGATTTATTTATGTACTTTGTGTATATGAGTGCTCTATTTGCATGTATGTCTTCATGACAGAGGGGGCATCAGCTCTCATTATCGATGGCTGTGAGCCACCATGTGGTTGCTGGGAACTGAACTCAGGTACTCTGGATGAGCAGTCAGTGCTCTTAACCACTAAGCCATCTCTTCAGCCAGTCTTCTTCTTCTTTTTTTTCTTAACATGTGATTTTATAGAGTAGTTCTCAGAGTGCCTTATGTACAATTTTAATTGGATAAGGTAATCCCTTGCTGTATATGGCATAGATCCCAGGCCTGAGCCAGGCTGGGAACTCCCTCTAAGAGCCACAGAGCAAAGTGTGCATTTCATGTGTCATATACTTAATAATAGTGTGGATAGGAGAAGGGAAGCAGGGGTTTGCAAACACCAGGAAAGGCCATCACTCAGGTATTTATCTTCCTGGGAAGAGAGAGTGGAGGAAGACAGAGGGCACTTCTGATATAACTTCCTGGAAAACCATACTCCACTGAAGAGAAGCGGAGCAGTGGAGGTAATAGGGACCCATCTCCTCTTATGCCCTAACCTCATAAGAATTCTGGGGCTCCAATGACTGTCTCCCTCAGCACAGTTTGGAGAGACAGGCTGTTCTAGAATCACTGGGCAGAAAAGGGACTGAACTGGGGAGGGGGGAGGGATCAGAACCTCATCACAGAACAGGGCAGCCAGGGCTGAGAGGGGCATCTGACTCTGGGGCTGACTCCAAGATTCCACAGTCCTAGCCTCTGCCTCTGTCCTAGGCACCACTCCAGGTTGAGAGCTGTCACACTGTCCTCCTCCACAGGCCCCTGTGTGTGTCACGATCAGACAGGTGACATATATACTCACGAAGATCCTAGACTGGAAAGTGGGCAAAACTCACAATGCTAAATGTGGGAACCCAAATGTGAGCTGATCCTGTCCCCCCAAAGATGGCACACTACTCCAAAGAAAGGTGCCAAGCCCAGGCCAGACTGGAACACTGAGTCCTCCAAGGACTTTCATAAACCTTTTGTCGCCTTTGGACTTCTATGGTTTACAACACTGGCATTTAAGGATGACTTCATCCTGTACACAGTCTGTCTCTGTCTTCATTTTGTCTTGAGGCAAGTTTGACCACAACAGCCTTACACTGATTACAGAGACTCCATGTAATCAAGAAAAACCTGTGTAACCTATAAAGTCCCCAGGTAAGTGATTTCCTTCCCTCCCTCCTTCCCTTCACTCCTTTTTCCTTCTCTCTCCTCTTCCTCCCCAACCTTCTGTACCTTCCTCTCTCCTTACCTCCACCCTCCTTGTTCTTTCTTTCATACTCTTGTCTTAGTTTTTCTCTTCTGAACCTATACCTATATAAGCCAGGCGATTGCTCTGCCACTGAGATATGCACCCAGCCAGCAAGGAAAGGAAATCTATTGTTTGTAATTTCTAAAATAATTTTTTAGGGAACTTCAGCAAATGGGTTCTTATTTTAAATGTGTAAGAAAAAAACAGTAGGGGCTGCAGACATGACTCAGTGGTTAAACACACTTCCACACAGCACCAGAGGTCAGTTGCCAGCACCCATAACCACCTGGGATCAACAGACAATCCACCAATCTCTTCTGGCCCCCTCAGACATCCAGACACAGAGCAAGCGTGTGTGCACACTCACTCTCTCACACACACACCAAATTAAAAAAAGAAAAAACATTTCAATGTAATCTAAAGCTACTGTGTTGAAAAGTTGCATGGAAATTGATAAAAGGTTCTTTAAGAGCCTGTTGGCTGGGGCAGGAAGCAGACACCACCTAGGGTTCTCATTTAGCCTGCACAAGGCCATGGTTTTAGTGAATTGACTTACATTTGCAGTGATTGCCACAGTTGATTTTTAGCATATTGTCATCTCTGAAATCAAAGCAACACTGTCATCATTAGCTATGGTTTAACTCCCTTTCTATGTCTTCGCTCTAGAACCTAAGACCCTAGCCAAACAACAATCCAATTGTGTTAAACATGGATGTCCCTCTTCTGAACTTTCAAGGATGGGGATTCTAGACCATTTGGGGCCCCAATGACTGGCCTTACTCACAGAGCATGCTATTCTCTGGAACATCTTTGCTACATCAGGCATCAATACTTCACTGTTTTCATGATGTCATGTCACATTTCTTGTCATTCACAAGTTTATCATCATCTTTTGGGTATTTTGAATTAAATACAGACTCTGTCATAAACAAAAAAGGTGGAAACCCTTATCCAAAACAAATCAAATGTGAGTTCCTTTGCCTCTATGGGAATAAAAATGTGCTTGGAATGGAGCACACAAGAATACCCTAGAGGTGATGAAAATATTAAATACTTGTATCCCTCAGCATCTTAGAATAAAAGCACGACCCTGACTGTTTTCATAGTGGGGCATATGTGTGTGGCATGGCACTATTTTCAGAACTCAGGGTAGCACTGGGAATATTGTGAGTACAAGACTAGTCTTAACTGTGGGGTGGCTTTAGGTCAGCACCTTCCTTAAAAACAAAAAGGAAAGAATAACCAAATAAAATACCCTGATCTCTATCCTCATAGTTAACTTTTATCCTTATAGAATTAATTTTAATACTTTGGGTCAGTTATTAATGTTTTAACAATGCAGCACCCCTATATATGTGCCAATTTTTGCTTTAATTTGGTGAGTGGCATGCTTTTCTTTTACAGTTTTTCTTTCTTTTTTCTGTTTTAAACCAAAACCTTCACTCCATAAATATTCCCAGGGCGCTTGGCACAGTGTGTTTAGTCCAGGGGAAAAAGAGTAGCAGAGGTTGAGTTGAACAAATTACAGTAATTAGCTAATGGGTGAGAGTGATAGGCCACAACTCATCAGCAAACATTTTCATACTTAATTTATGAAACCATTTGCAAGTAGTTGGAAGCAGAGGATGCTTGCATACAGTGGTTTGGGAATGACTTCATATTATTTTCACGGGAACAGTTCCAAACAATGTCCCTGTCAGGGTTCTATGGCCTCGATTCTGATTTCATTGTAACTGAAGTTTGGAAGATTTAAAGAGTCCTATGGGGCGATAATGTGCAGCCAGAAGTTAGATCCATGAGTTTCAGGGTCTTGGATGAATCAGCTATGCCTGACACTCATGTGTGCTTTGCCTACCACCATACATCTGACTTCCAGGTATCAAAAACTGCTTTTGCCCAGCTGAAATAAAATTCAAGATACACTCCTCATATGGCAACATTTCTGCAACACAAAATGCATTCTCAATGGATGACACATCTCCTTTAGTGCCATTTGCTTTCCTCTAAGATTTCTCAACAGTTTTGAATTTGTTTGATCATAAATACCACACAAAAACAAAGGGAATGGAAATAATTTGCATGCATGTGGGGGTTCATTTTACAGGTTTAATTTTTTTTCCCTACAACGAGATAGATTATGCCGTTAGTCTTTGATATTGTTGCTATTACAGAAATTTTACCTGTTTAGACTAAAACAACAACAAAAACAAAAACCTGACATTTCTCAGAATACATGTGAGCTAGATAGGAGAGATGGGAGTGAATACAGAACAAGGAATGATGAGAACAAAGTATATAACGACACCTTTCAGACACCTTTCGGAAGACGTCACGATACATACTAACCTAAACAATTAAAGGATTTTTAAAATTCTGCCTGCCATGTTGCTTGTATCAGACATTGCTGCCTTACAGGACTGCTTTCCATTTCAAAGCTCAGAGTTGGAAAAACACAGGTTAAAACTGCCACGATGAGATTTCCACTTGTGGATATGATAAATAAATGTATTTCAACCGTAAACCCGTAAAGCCTTCCGTTCTAGGTTGAGTGCAATCGTTCAGTGCCAGCATCTGTTCTCTCACGGGGTGGGGGATGGGGGAGAGGGGAGGAAGACGGAGGGGGAGGGTGGAACCCTCCCTGGCAACACCTGTGAGCAAGAACTTGCTTTTTATTTATTTATTTTTTCCTTTTTGCTTAACTCACACACCAATTGGTGCTATCTATTGTCACTCATAGCCAAGCCCGAAGTACTGTCCAATAGGATGCACCAGCCTGACAACTGACCAATCAAACACAGAGACTGATCGCAGAGGGCAGGCCTTCGCTGCTCCGTTGTGGCCTTTGTCTATCCCCGGCCATCTTAGTTCTGTGGCCTTGTCCGGTAAGCGATCGGGAGGACTGGAGACTGCTGCGGCCTCTGTCACCCGTGACAGTCGCTGCGGGGAGGCCCGCGGAGGACGCGGGATGTCACAGCCCGCCATGGTGAGTGCGGGCGTCCCGCATCAGTGCAGCTGTCTCTGCACCTCCGCCGCAGTCCTGAGTCCTCCTGCGCCTGCGCCGCCATCCCGGGCCTTGGTGTGTGTGTGTGTGTGTGTGTGTGTGTGTGTGTGTGTGTCTGTGTGTGTGAGATCTTGCATGGTGTGTGTGTGTCTGTGTGTGTGATCTTGCATGGAGTCTCAGCCCAGCGTGGCAGCTAGTGAGCAAAGGAGAATGTGTGTGTGTGTGTGTGTGTGTGTGTGTGTGTGTGTGTGTGTGTGAGAGAGAGAGAGAGAGATCTGTCAGGGAGTTGCAAAGGAGAATCCCCTTTGGGGTGTGTGTGTGTGTGTGTGTGTGTGTGTGTGTGTGTGTCATCTGTCAGGGAGTTGCAAAGGAGAATCCCCTTTGGGAGTCTCCTACTCACATACAGCTTTGACAGCAATTGGCCTAGAGAATTTCATGAGGAGTCTGAAGGGGAAAAAAAATTCATTTATTAAGCAGTAATAGATTGAAGCCTGTACTTTTAGAGAGAGAGAGAGAGAGAGAGAAAGAGAGAGAGAGAGAGAGAGAGAGAGAGAGAGAGAGAGAGAGAGAGAGAGAGAGAGATGCCCCTAGGGATTCCCAGTGGCTGTCATTTTGAGGATTTCTCAGTTAAGGTTCCCTGTAAATTGATGTCCCTTACATCAAAGTAAGGTGCTTAAGCAACTTTTTAAGAGGTAAAAAATTTAAAAACTATGGTTAATGGTTGTTTTACTCTTTTCTCTTGTCTGTGGAGAATCCAGCTCTCTGTTCAAAAGAATTAGGAGAGAGTTTATTCTGGGACAAATATGAGTCACCCTGTTCAGAAGTGCATATTTAAGTTGCCCTAAATGACATGTTCCAACATGGATGTGGTTACATGAGCTTTTATGGTGCAGAACAAAAGGAAGTCATAAATCCAGGGCTTTACCAAACACACTTGTTAGGTAGGTTAGGTAGGTTCCAGCCAAGCAGTGAAAGCTGCTAAAGACTTGAGGTATCACCTACTGACAGTCTTAGCTTTTGGCTTGGTGGAAGCTAGTGGTCGGCTCTGTGGATACATTCCCAAGTTTTAAGCTGATACCTGATGTTAAGTCACACAGGGAAGATGGATTCTAAATGGCTATCAAGGGAACTAACCATAACAAAGAATTTTGACTCTGCATTCATAGTGTCCCAACTCTCCAGAACCATGAAGTTCTAACCACTCAAGAAGCCTGATAAAGTCTTTGAAACACACTTGGAATCCACCCATATTCCTCTCGAGGGAAGGAAAGACTTGAGTTTCTACTCTTTAAGAATTTTCTGGCTGGGGAGATGGCTCAGTGGGTATAGGCACATGCCATCAAGTCTGACAATGTGAAGAACTGGCCTCTTCACTTAGGCCAGTTCTGAGGAATAACAGTGGGAAAGTAGTAGACACCTTTGTTTTAACAGGTAAGCCACCATGCTTCTGTAAGAGCAGAACATCATAGTGAAAGTACTACGGTTTTTGACATTTTAGTCTCAAGTCAGAACCAAGGTGTTTCTGTTGGTATGGCATGATGTGAGGGTGTGTGTGATCAGAGGGGAGACAGGCGGGAAGGTGCCAGACATAGCATAAGTGAGTGTGGCCAGAAATACCTAGATGCATTCTGTGTTTGATTTTGAATTAATTTCAGGCCATTGGGTAGTACTGTTGCCCATTATTTTCTGACTCTTGTATTCAGTGACTTTGTAAGGAACAGGAGGATTCCATGGTTTCTGGGTAATTGGACCATGCTCTTGCTCCATCCAGATCTGTTGGCTACCACTGTGCTGTACCACCAGCCCCAACACCTGCCTTTTCACTGGTTTGATTCTTTACAGATTACCTTTATACGGTTGTGTTTATGTATGCTTTTCGCCTGCTATTAACACAAGCCTTGTATTCATATGTATTTTATGTGTACTGACTCATTTTTCTTAAGTGTCTCTTGGCTGCAAAGAGACTGGGCATTGGTTGGACTTGGCAGTCAAGCTAATAGTATACATTGAGAAAATTTAAAACATGTAGTTAACCTGCTGTAGCCCCACACAACCTGTTTGAGTTTAATGTGCCTTTAAGAGAGCAGTCTTCCTATGCCTTGGATTTCCAATGCAGTCAGCTTTTACTACCTAAACTATAAACAAAGTTTCACCTTAAGTTATGAACTCTTCCATATCCCCTACCCAGAGTAATATGTCTGTTGTGCTGATCATTTGCTAAAGACATCCAAGAGGTTGAAAGTAACCTTATACAACAAATACTCACCAAAAATGTTGGAAGTAACATGTGGATATAGTTGATAACATCTGTTTGTGATTATGTTTGCTATTCTGGGCCAGTTGGGAGCATTAAAGTAACATCTTCCCTTGTAAAGCTCTGTTAAAATTCTTCCTTTGTTGCTTCCCATACCATGTTTTCTGTGCTGTTCAGTAAGTACACAGTGAAGCCCTTTGTTAGGGACAGAAGAACAATTCAGGGAAAGAAATGAAGAGTTGAAATTTGGGCTCTCTCTTGGTCAATTTAATACAAGAGGGTGTCTATATTTTCATTCCTTCATGTGTTATGGATAAACTGTAGATTTCTATTACAATTCCTTGGAAAATTCTTTGCTCGTATTTTTGTGATGTCACCTTAACTCCCAAGGATGATACTTGAATTGGCTTTGCTTTCTTCCATGGTAAAGAAGACACACCAAGCTGTAGCTTATTTAAGACACTGTCAAGTCATTCCTACACAGAGAATAAGAAGCCCAGGCTTTGTTCCCAAGTCTGAGGATTTGAGCTGAAGTGAAGTGTTGTTCATTCCAGGAGTCTCTGTCATTTGAGGACATAGCTGTGTACTTCACCTGGCAGGAGTGGCAGGACCTGGATATTGCTCAGAAGCTGCTGTACAGGGATGTGATGCTGGAGAACTACAGCAGCCTGGTGTCCCTGGGTGAGTGTAACTCCCCCTAATGCTCAGTAGCAGTTGTTTCCCATTGATGAGTAGAGGAGCTTTCAACCCTAATTTTAAATTGTAAATTTTAGCTGATGCATGATAATGGCACACATTTCTGGAGGACAGTATGGCTTTGCATTACACTTACACAACATATAATGATCAGATGATGGTTAAGTCACCACTTGGGCATGTACTACTTGTTTGTAATAGGGAACATTTAAATCTCTCAGCTATTTTGAAATACTCAATTTGTTTTTGCCCACCATATGTTTACTTTTATATTAGAGAATGTAAGTTATTCATTCCCACATCTACCCCAGTAAATATTATACATCCTCTCCTGCTGACCCCCATACTTTTTTTTTTACATTGTAAAACCCACTGCTTATTTCACCATTATTTCTTTGAAACTATCTTTAGCTTTCATGTATAACTAAAACACATGGCATTTTTCTTTTTCTGACATAGCTTACTTATATATTGCAGCTTTCCTAGGGAGATGTAGAAAATTGTTTACTCTGATACAGGGACCAAAGAAATGCCCAATAACTTCCAGCTTTGCAAAGAAATTAATTTAGTGGGGTTAAAGAACATGGCTGAGGAAATGGGTTATCCAGAAACTTCTTGTCAAGTAAGTGTGAGAACCTGATTTTCTTCTTCAAGCCAGCATATATTATTTTTGTTGCTGTCATAAAATGCCTTGGCCAAACAAATTAAGGAAGGGAGTAATTATTTTGGCTTACAATTTCAGGGTATAGTCTATTATGACAGGGAAGTCATGACATTAGGAGCCTGAGGTGGCTGGTCACATTTTCTACCTGATAAGGATGTGCCCATTGGAGTAATGAATGCTCCCTCTAGCTAGTTCCCTTGTCCAGGGAACCATATAGCTCCCCCTGCCCCACAACACCATCTCCTCAGCCCTTGTTTGCTCCTCCCACCAATTTTGTTTCTAGCTGTTTCTTTTTAAATGACTTCTTGCTCCTTTTTCAATTTATTCTTAAGCATCATGCATTGTTTTTACCAGTTTCATTGTGTTTGCTGTCTTATTCTCTTCTCTTTCTTTACATATTCATGTTATTTTGGGTTATGTATCGTGTAGCTTAATGCCACATGGGGTAATAGTCTAGTCTGTGAAGGAGGGGAGTGTAAAAACTTTCTAGCAAAAGTTTCTGCTTTACCCACAGGAGCACAGTTCCTCCCACAGAAGGGTATCTGTCATTAGGGAGCCTGGGTGCTGTTGGCAGAAACTGTATATGATTTCTCATTTACAGGCTGCTGCATGATCAAGCCTGAGTTGATCCTCATGTTGGAACGTGAATTTTTGCCATGGAGGGTAGCAGATACCTCAGTCTGGAACCTTCCAGGTCAGTCAGTACATACTGGGTAAGGGAAAAGGTCATCAAATACTTGTCATGGTGAGGTGGTTTTGCCAAATTTTACCTAGAGACAGTCTTGCATGTAGTTGGCCTTATGAATCAGACAGAGCCTGAAGACATTTTTCCACTTAAACCCATCTCCCTGTTTCCTTGCTCAAGTATATTTTGTAGAGAGCTAATCCCTTATTTGAGGTCAAGTTTAGCTAGCAGATGTAATGACAACATGTACAATTTTATGTTGTTTTTTTCCAGACATGTTTTTTTCATGCCTTAGTACATTCCTAAAGAGTTAAAAAGAAATACTTACTTAGAGTTTCTATTGCTATGATAAAACACCATGACCAAAGCAACTTCTACAAGGAAGTGTTTAGAGTTTCTGGTCACAGAAACAGAGGATTAGAGTACACGATGGTGGAACAAAGGCATGGCAGAAAGAGCAGCTAAGAACCCCACCTCAAACTACAAGGAGTGGCCTAGAGGCACACTGGAAATAGCACCATCAAAGTCTGCCCCCAGTGACATACCTCCTAATCCTTCTGAAATATTCATACCAAATTTAGACCAAACATTCAAAATGAGTGTATGCATGCCCTTTGTATTCATCCAAATGACCCTTACCTCACTAACCCACAGAAAGACTCCACTCATTCCATTTGGTAAATAAATAAGCTTTTTAAAATTGAGTAGAATATAATGGTGGCTTTGGGACAGTTGGATCATCCCCAAATCTCAACCCTAGTTGCTTCTTACCTCTTTATGTCACATGAAGTTGGGCAGAGGAATGCTCAGTGAAATCTCAGTTTACTGTTGCACTGGTAAATTCACAGTGCCTATGATTGCCTACACAGAATCTTTACAAGCATTCTGGCAGGGGGTTTGTGGGGGAACGTGAGCCCCAAGTCCTTGCTAAGAAACTATTGACAGTTGAGGAGGTCCAGTCAGTTTTCTTTAGGAATGAGGCTCCTGATAGGTTGCCCATGCTGTAGTAGATGCCCCCACAGACAGAACACATTGCAGTCAGCAGGTTTTTAAAGGGGTGGGGAAGGCAGGAGGTGAAGTTAGGAGTGAGGTGGTGGATGAAGAGGAGTTAAAGAGAAATCACAATGAATATGGTCAAAATGTACTCTATATATTATGAAATTCTCAAAAAATTAATACAAATATTATAGTTTTAAAAACCTCACTTGAGGGGCTTATGTCAGTCTTTTGAGAGAATGTAAAAGCCATATTACTGTTACCATGAACCTAGATATCTGAGAAATAGTTTTCTTTATTTCATTGCCACGAATGAGACTTTTGTTTTTTTGAGATGGTGATACTATTTCAAAGACAGAGGAAATAGTTATGCTACTCTTAACATAATGCCCTTCACTCCTACCCATGTTCCTAAGAATGACAATACTTTTGCTTTAATGGATGAATATTTAAGTGTTGATATGTGTCATGTTTCCTTTGTCTATTCCTGTGTTGATCGACATCTACATTGACGATGTGTCTTGACAGTTAAACAGCTGCTGCAGTAAAAGAAGTGCAACTTTCTTGTCATAAGACTGATTTCATTTTCTTTTCCTCCATATGGCCAACAGTGAGATTGTGGCATGATGTGCTCGCTCTGCACATGGCTTTCTGAGCAGCATATTTCACAATAGGTTATGAGACTTTCTACATTTGTCATTTTGTATCTTACATAAGAACCTTTGTCATGGTAATGCAGGGATGTGAATCTTCCTCATGGTTGGGGTACTACACATTTGTTCACTGATCTATGAGCTCTTTGTTTGATGTGTTGGAGAAGGGTCTCATTTAGGCTATTTACACAGATCTCATCAGGTCACTTGCTTTTCTACTACTTAGATGTTTGGAGTTTTTACATATTCTGAATCTTTTGTTTGGGAAATAGTTTGCCAGTATTTTTCAGTCTTAAGGTGGAGTCTTCATCCTGTTGAATGCTTGCTTTTCTGTATGGTCAATTTTCAGTGTAATGTATGTAATCCTGTTTGTTGTTCTTTTGTTTGTGTTGACTGTGTTTTTGACATATTTAAAAATACTCTGTCTGCTTTGTCCCCAATGTCCCTGTATGTTCTAGCAGCTTCACAGTTTCTGTAGAGTGCCTATTTCATCATTTGGATAATTCACACATAATCACTGTCATCATTTTATGTTGCCTTCCACCTTTCTGTTTTCATTGAGAATTTTTAACCCTGTGTTCATCCGAAATATTGCTTGCATAGTTTGTTGTGACCCTGTTTGGTTTAAAAATTATTGTAACACTGCTATATAAAGTGTGTTTTCTAATCTCTTCTTTGAGAATTCCATACCTGTATACAATGTTTTAACCTTATTAACATTCAGCTTCTCCCAGACCCCTTTCCATATCCCCCTTCTCAGCTTAATGTCATCTTTTCTTAGCCCGCCAAAACCAGTCAGTGCCAAGCTTCTGTAAATGGCTAGCCACCTACTGGAGCATGAACACCAGCCACAGGCTACTTCACTGAAGAACACTGGCTTTCCTTCCCCAGTAGGCTTCAACTGCCAGCTAAGAATGGGGATTTGTGAGTTCCTCTCCATTCATGGTGGAACTCTAGCTCCCTTCATCTTGTGTGGGTCCTGTGTAGGTGATCCAGCTATTGTGAATTTGTGAGTTCACTTACTGCTGCCAATAGATGCCTGTATGTAGTGGCATCTACCAGTACATAGGCAGTCTTTCAGTGGCCTCTTCTGTAAAGAAACAGACTATCCCTTTCCCAGAAGGCATTAATTGCCAGTCACCACTCAGCTAGAGGTGGACTTTATGACCACCTCCCCCCCTCCATGGTGGGATTTTGTCTGTCTTGATCTTGGACCAGTCAGTCGTGCATGCCGTCATATTCTCTGAATTCATATATTTGGTTTCGTAGAGGCAGTGCTTATGAATTAAATCATTCTTTATTTCTTTTTCCCAAGTTTAAGAATATGATTATATTTATTTTATTTGAATGAGTATTTGCTTGGATGTATATATGTGTATCAGGTATAATGTTCCTGGGTTATTTTAAAATAGCCAGTCTTTGTTCACAGCTCCCCCCCCCCCAACTTTCCCTCTGTCTGGTCCATTTCCTTTGATGTCCTTTTGCATTTTACTTGCTTCAGTAGTTGAGCTACTTCCCTTGCTGTAGCTGACTTGAGGGGAACCAGCCCCCAGTCAGTACCAGGATATACCAAAAACCACAAAGGAAAAATTCTTAACGGAGGGTTGCTAGATTTTACTATCTGAGGGGGAAAATAAGTAAATACAAGCTTTCTGCTGGTAGCCCAAGAAAAAAGTAACAAGCACACATTTTCCTGATGATGTTCTTCTCTTTTACTTCATCTTAAATAATCTGTGACAATCTCTGTTACATACATACATCTCTCTCCTGCTCAGTTACATATTTCTATATTCAGTTACATTTCTTTTCACATGACTACACATCTTTCTTTTACGTACATTCCCCTTCTACACCTCTTTCCTATACATCTTCATTTTTTCCTTACCCCCACACAGTTACAAGTCTCCGCACAGCTATACATCTCATTTGCATATTCTCTCACCATCAGTACTTTACACAGTTCCTAGGCACAGCTTCTCTGTGTAGCAGCATCTCTCTATCCTACACACACACACACACACACACACACACACACACACACACACTTCTATATCATTCATTCATTCTTACTAACCCATTTATTCTTTCACACTTCTCTCTTGCTTCTTCTTCATCTCTTATACTTCTCTCTCCCACAGCAGCCTTCCCTCAACACTGCCGCTTCTGCTCTGCGGCCTCTGCTTCTCTCACAGCCAAACTCTGGACAATTATAAGTTATGTTTTCAGGGCCTGACCCATTCTCATAACACTTGATAAGTGACACAGTCTGTCTCAGGCTAGGAATGTCACATTGACCCATGCATGTAGCTTTAAGTTGGTGAGGGTTCCCAGACAGTAAATGACATTGGAATTCAAGACTTAATAACAATTAGCTGGACTTTGAGTGGTAGGGAGTGCATGCAAACTAAAGTTGCTTCAAGCTCTGTCCTTGAATCAGTAAAACAACACCTAGGAAAATTAACTCATGTATTTGTCTCTAGAGGCAACCAGATATTTGTCTCTAGGGGCAACCAGCCTGCTTTGAATCTGTTCTGAAGTTTAAAGTTAGCTGTCTGTGTTTTAAGCTGTTTTTATGACTAAAAATCCTATGTCAGTCTGAGTAATGTAAAATATAGGCAGAAACCATCCTCCTGACTACCCACAGCTATATGTGTACACAATAAGTATAAGACAAACCACCAAAGAATTGTGGAAAGAACCCACAGCTGTTCTTATTAGGGAAGTAAGTAATGGCACTTGAGAACTTTAAGGACAGGAACAACTAATCATTCATAGTCAGTAACCTTACTGCTTTGCCAAGTAGGGCTTCCCAATAATGTCTGGTGAGTAGACTTTGCCAAGTAGTGCTCCCCAACAGCATCTAGTGGGTCAACTTGTTAAATACTAGTTGTCACTGCTGTATATTCCCAGAGCCCTCTTCACCCTGCAAATTTTCTGGGTGTTTGTTTCCTTGCTTTTTGTTAATTGTTGTTTTTATGGCCTCATCTTATTCATTTGCCTTAAATACATGTGCCTTTTCAATTTCATTGTGTTATTACTTATTTTTCTATTCTGTTTAAGTTTAAAAACAGTCATTATTTTAGGCTATCATGCAGCTTAATGTAATTTGAGGACAATAATCCACTCAGTAAATAATGTGAGTATAAATCTTGTCCTCAAAGTGTTCCAGAACCACACATCTTAGCAGAGCTCCTGAAGTAGACTTGCTATCTTTCAATGTTGGCCCTAACTTGGCACATTTGGATAAACTACCTCATTTCCCTTATAGAGTATTGCATGACCAGACCAGAGTTGAACATCAAGTTGCAGCATGGATTTGAGCCATGGAGTGCCTCACAAGCCTCACTCTGGAGCCTTCCAGGTCAGTTGGTACATGCTCAGCAGATGCTAGTTATATTGCTTGATCTCTTTGTACCCACTTTCACCAAACAAAGCCTGACAGACCCCTGGTCTCATAGATTTCCCAGACACTTTATGCAATGTCCAAAATAGTTCCCCATGTGTTCCCACATCAGAGCTTCAAAGAATAACTGGTACCAACATACAAGAGAGTATGCCTCCATAGGCATGCCTCCAAAAAGCCCATTCACGAAGTAGGGATAAATACTGTTTCCACTGCCAGAGGCCCCCATAGATTGCCCAAACCCTCCAACTGACACCATGTTCAGGGGGCCTGGTTTGGTTTTATGCAAGTTTATGCAGTCTGGAGTCAGTGAGCTCCTACTTGCTCAGCTCAGCTGTTTGTGGGTTTCCCCTGCATTGTCTTGACCCCTTTGCTCATCATTCCTCCCTCTCTACAACTGGATTCCAGGAGTTCGTCTCAGTGCTTAACTGTGAATCTCTGCTTCTGCCTCCATCAGCTACTGGATGAAGGCTCTATGACGGCATTTAAGATAGTCATCAATGTCATTATAGGGAAAGGGCATTTAAGGTAGCCTCTCCACTATTGCTTAGATTGTTAGTTAGGGTCATTCATGTTGCTCTTCTCATTAAGCCCATAATGGCTCCCTTTATCAAGTTATCTCTTTCCTTGCTGTCCTCTGTTCTTCCCCCAACTCAACCTTCCTGCTCCCTCATGTTCTCCTCCCCTTGTTCCCCCTCCTCTTTCTCTTACCATGCTCTCCCCTCCCCCATACTCCCAATTTACTCAGGAGATCTTGTTCCTTTCCCATTCTTGGGGGTGTTTATGTATGTCTCTCTTAGGGTCCTCCTTGTTACCTATCATCTCTGGGGTTGTGAATTGTAAGCTGGTTATCCTCTGCTCTATGTCTATCTAATATCCACTTATGAGCGAGTACATACTGTGTTTGTCTTTCTGTAACTGGGTTACCTCACTCAGGATGGTTTCTTCTAGTTCTATCCATTTCATCCATTTGCCTGTGAATTTCAAGATGTCATTTTTTTTTTTTTTTTTTTTTTTTTTAACCACTGAGTAGTGCTTCATTGTGTATATGTACCACATTTTCTGTATCTATTCTTCGGTTGAAGGGCTTCCAGGTTCTGGCTATTACAAATAATTCTGCTATGTGTTACTGAATTCTGCTATGTGTTTCTGTCCCAGCCTGGTCCCACTGGCGCTGAGCCCCAAATAAATACACAGATGCTATATTAGTTATTAAGCTGTTGGCCGATGATTAGGGCTTCTTATTGGTTAGCTCTGTCTTAATTATTAAGCCATTTTTATCAGTCTATGTATTGCCAGGAGGCTGTGGCTTATCCGATAAGCCCCTGCATGCTGTTACTCCTTCTCCTTCTCCTTCGGCAGCGTGGCAACTCTGTCTTGGGTTCCCTCTGCCTACCTTTCCAAGAATTCTCCTTGTTTCTTAGTCCCACCTATCTTCCTGCCTCAGTGGAAGAACAGTGTTTTATTCATTAACCAATAAGAGAAGGACAACCCCCATCAGCTATAAACATAGTTGAATAGATGTCCTTGTGGTATGAATGTGTATTCATTGTGTATAAGCCTAAGAGTAGAATTGCTGAGTCCTGAGGTAGACTGATTCCTATTTTTCTGAGAAACTGCCATACTGATTTCCAAAGTATATGTATAAGTTTGCATTCCCACCAGCAATGGAGGATTTTTCCCCCTTTCTCCATATCCTCTCCATCATAAGCTGTCATCCGTGTTTTTGATTTTATCCATTCTGGCAGGAGTAATATGGTATCTCAGAGTTGTTTTGATTTGTATTTCCCTGATGGCTAAGGATGCTGAGCAATTCCTTACGTGCCTTTTGGCTACTTGAGATTCCTCTATTAGAAGTCTCTTTGTAGATCTGTACCTCATTTTTTAATTGTATTATTTGGTATTTTGGTGACTAGCTTCTTAAGTTCTTTGTATATTTTGGAGATCAGTCCTATGTCAGAAATGGGTTTGGTGAATATCTTTTCCCATTCTGTGGGCTGCTGTTTTGTCTTGTTGACTGTGTCCTTTGTCTCACAGAAGCTTCTCTGAAGATGGTTAAGGAAGAGACTGATCTATGAGTATAGAGTATAGAGAATGTCAATAGGGGTCATTTTATTGTTTTGCTTTTTTTTTTTTTTTTTTTCTTTTAAAGAAGAGTAATATTTAGTTTTCTGGTTTTTTTTTTTTTTTTTTTGATTCCATTGCTCAACATTTCTGTTGCCAATAAAATGCAGTTTTTATTATTATATCTGTGTAGTGCAACTTGAAAATGGTAATGGTGATACCTCCTACAGTTTTTATTAGTCAGGATTGTTTTGGCTATCATGGTTTTTTGGTGTTTCCATATGAAGCTGAAAATTATCTTTTTAAGATCTGTGAAGAACTGTTGGAATGTTGAGGGGAGTTGCATTGACTTTGTAGATTGCTTTTAATAGGATGGCCAGTTTTGCTACACTAATCCTACCTATCCATGAACATGGGAAATCTTCCTGTCTTCTGATTATTTTTTTCAATTTCTTTGTTCAATGTCTTGATGTTTTTATATGTCTTTCACTTGCTTGATTTGAGTTATTGCAAGATGGTTTATATTATTGGAAGCTGTTCTGAAAGGTGTTGTTTCCCATTTGTGTATAGGGGAGCTACCAAGGTTTGTGAATTAATTTTGTATCCAGCTTCTTTGTAGAAAGTAGTCATCTGCTACAGCAGTCTCCTGATGCAATATTTAGGGTTACTTATGTATACCATCTACAAATAAAAATACTTAGAATTTTTCTTTCACATTTCTTTTTCCTTGATCACCTTCAGTTGACTTGTTATTCCAGCTAAGACTTCAAGTACTATATTAAATTGGTGTGTAGAGTGTGGGCAACCTTGTCTTATTCCTGATTTTATTGGAAATGTTTTGAGTTTCTTTTCATTCAAGTTACTGTTGGTTAAAGCTTGCTGTAAACTGCCTTTATTATGTTAAGGTATGTCCTCCTTTGTATCACTAATGTCTCCAGGTCTTTATCAAGAATGGATTTTGAATTTTGTCAAAGGCCTTTTCTGCCTTTGACATATGCTTTTTTTCTTTCAGTTTGTTTATATTGTGGATTCCATTTATTGATTTATGTGTGTTGAACCATCCCTGTATCTCTGAGATGAAGCCTACTTGATCAGTGTTGATGAACTTTTTGATGTGTTTTTAGAACATATGCAAGTATTTTATTGAGAATTTCCCATCTGTGGTCATAAGGGTAATTGGTCTGTAATTATTTTTCTTTTTTGGCACATTCATGAGCCCAAACAGAGCTTGTTTTTAAATTTCTCTTTATTCTCAAGAACATCATATGTGTATTTAATGAAATATGGTCCCACAACAGTTTTATCCCCATAACTTCATATCATATTTTTTTTTGATTTTGTTTTCTTGTCTTTATAATCCACAAAGTCCAATTAGTGCTGCATATACATGCATAGATGTGGGGCTATCCACTGGAGCATGGAGCAGGGCTGTATACTCGTAAAAGAATGATGCTACCTTCTTAACAACTGTCCACCTTAAATAAATAGCTTCTCAGTAAAGGGTGGGGCCTGCAGACCATCCATCTCGTGTATGCCTGTTTCCCCCCAGCTTAACCTTGTATTTGTCCTGAAAGACCCGCAGAGGGCGTGGACCCTCATACCCCAACTCAGGAAAGGTCCCCCCCCCCCATATCACTCACGAGAAGCGGTCTTGATGCAAAAGCATGAGGTATTTTATATTCCAGTGCACTGGGGTTTGCAGCCACACTCCACGTGGAAGTAGGGGACTGGGAACCCTGGGTACAGGATTTAGACAGCTTTTATAGGGTTACAAAAAAGCCCGCGCATCATAAACCAATCATCTCATAGCATCCAGTGCGGACCAATCAATTTGAACTATCCAAGTCTGCGCTTAGCCCAGGAAGTCCATTTTCACTAGGGCTTCTGGGTAGTGACAAGCCCGCTCTTAGCCTAGTTAGTCTGCTTTCGCTAGGGCTTCTGGGTAGTGTGACAAGCCTCATTTCTTGTGTTCATTCACTCACAGGTGCTGTTGTAAACAGACCTGTCATAAACAGTCAAGAATGTGACCTTTTGCCTACTCCTGGGGTCAGTGGAAAGTTAGGCTAAATTTTTCCATCCTTACAGTCCTATAGTAGTAAACACAGCTGTTGTGAGTTCATGAGTGGGATGGCTATGCCATGTTCAGAAGACAGCCTCAGAGCATGCTTCCCCATTCTTTGGTTCTTATGTTCTTTCTCCTTCTATTTCTAAGATTTTCTTTGTGCCTTGGTGGTGCTGGGGTTAATATAGATGTACTAATTGGGGCTGAGCACTCAGTCTCTTGCTCTCAGCCCCATGACCAGTTATCCATCTCTGCTCACTGAGAAAAGAAGTTTCTCTGGCCAAAGCTGAGAGCAGCCCAGCTCTATGGGCATAAACAGAACTGTTTAGAAGGCAATTTGACAGTGTAACCATTTAGCCCAATAATAGCAGCAGCTTCTACCCAAGGTAACAGCTTGCCATCCCCTGCCATGAGCTTTTTGACCAGGATTACAGTACTGGGGACTAAAGAGTTTTAATGTACTCACTGTGCATTTGCCTATGGGACTTCTAAGAGAATGAGACAGGAACATCTGAGTTTTCAGGATAAGATGGCAGATTAGAAGTTTTCTTCATGGTGTTATGGGAATGGGGATAATACAAACAACAAAGGAGAGATTATATTCAAGGGGAACAGAATGAAGTATGCTGGGGATCAAGAAAAATGTGTCAGGACAGTTATAAAGGAGAAAATCAGACCCTTAGCTCCCAAAGCCAGAACTATAAAGTAAGCCCAATTGTAAGGTAAGTACAAAGAATACTATTGCCAACAGACTAGCATTTTTGAACACAGTATATACCTCTTTTCTGCAAAGGATTAAATATAGTGCTCTTGTATGGCTGACACTGACTCTGCCTGGCAGCCTGGGATTGGAGAAGACATCGGTGCATTTATCTTAGAATGCCTTGTTGTCTTGGGACCTGAAACCAGGGAACAGTAACAAAAACAGAGAGGCTGTGGACACATTGACACCATGAGAGATGGCTGCATGAGGAAGTTGTAGAAACTGCAGGTTCTGATGTGAAATCCATGAGAAATTTAGGTAATGGGATTTTTTGATGTGAAAGATTTGGTGCTCACATTCTGTATGAGAAGTGAGCCCCAGCCATTACTTGTAGTATAGGAAACTGAGACCATCATTAAGAGATTGTTTTGTTTCCAGACTCTCCTTCCAGCAATGAATGCTTGACTAACATAATCAGACCAAGAACTCTAAACTTCGGTCTAACCGATCTATATTTTCAGTCTTCTTCCTGTAGTGTGATTTGCTATTAGTTAGTTCTGAAAGCATCAAGACCAGTCAAGTCCCAGTCCCAGTTTCCTGTGGTCTTCCATAGTCAAAACCTTTGGCTAAGACTTCCTTTATTGCACAAAAATGGGGCCTTTGGAAATGATTCTGCTCTATCTGTAAAGTAGATCTTATTGATGTCAGAAGTGGCTCTTTTTTTTTTTTTTTTTTGTAAACAGTGAGGTTTCTTAACTGAATGTAGCCCTATTGGTCATAAAACAGTGACCATGCTGAGAAAAAAAAAAAAAAGCATTAAATTTAACTTGTAGCCCAATAGTAGAGAACACAGATAAAATGTTCCTCTTATACGTTCTTTGAACGTATTTTTACTCAAGAAGAAAAATATAGTGATTTTAAAATAGTTCCCAAGAAGGTGATGCAAGCAAAAGAGTATCGAGTATCGTTGTTTTAGGAAGCTCATGTAAATCCAGAAAATGGAAATGATATACAAAACTTAACATAGACTAAATGAAGAAGTTGAAGAAAGCTGCTTTTTTGTTTTTTTTTTCCTTCCTTTTTTTTGGCAGAAATTTGCATAAGTAAATAATTGCGGTGTCTCTGGACAAAGTAAATTAATTTAATTATACATGCATTGAAATCTTTTCCCTACTTTTATTGTTGATCATTCAACTATGCTTAAAGAAACTAATGTTTACATAGAAAAGAGGTTTAGTGTAGAATAGCCCCAGAAGCCCAGATAATATATTAGAGAAATGGAACAAAGGAAAAAATGACAGGTCAAAATTGATGTGTGGAAAGCTACAGCTGAGAAATAGGTGGATACTTTACCTTACTTGTTTGAACCAAGGGTAGCAAAGCCTCAAAGCAAACTGACTAAGCCCTGGAATGCCCATCCTTGTAGTAGTTGTATTAATTCACTGACAACTAATATCTATTTATTGTAAGTGAATATATTAAAACTTATACCTTAAAGATACGAAGACACTACTATATATTTGAATTGTCTAAAAAAATCTTCACATGATTAATAGACATTGTTTATGTCTGCTTGTTTGTTTAATGTTATTTTAGATGTCCATAATGTAAGTGGCCTGGGAAATCAAGAGACACACTTATGGCAAGTGGAAGTCACCAATGGCATTACATCATATGAACAGATGGTTGAAGTAGGTATAAGTTTTTGTGTAAGCTAAACCACATTTAAAGTCTGAACATTAAATAGTGCTCTATTTACTAAGGCACTTAATCCCCAGCAAACTACACTAACTCTCTACAATGAGCCTGATAAGAAACAGGGTGGAAAAGAACCTGATAATTTTAATGTAACTGAGACTTATGGAGCATCTTAGTCTCCACTGTTAGAACCAATCTTTGCAATATGTTCTTACTACTTGCAATTGAAATCTTTCCATTAAAATATAATTTCTTATATGGGAGAACTCTAATTAAAGTTTGAATATGGAAATCCTTTCTGCCCAAGTCATGGCTTTGGTAAGAACAGAAAAGTTTGAGTCTAATGTGTTTTGGATAACATTTGGTAGCAAGACCAAACTCAGTAAAGAATATGAAATACATAAAGAGCATTTCCCCAAATGTCAGGTTGTAAGAAATTTTTCATTAAGAAGTCAGACCTCAAAAATATCAGGAAATAAATAATTGGAAATAGTCTCCTGGGTTATAAGAATGTAACAACGTTTTCTGTCTCAAGGCAGAACTACAGATTCAAGAGAAAATGCATCAAGGAGCAAAATCGTATGAATATAAAGAATGTGTGGAAGGCACTTATCAGAATTCACAGCACACCGTGAATCAGACATCTTTGTCATATGAGAACCCCTTTGGAGGGGAGGAATGTAGAAAATCTTTCTATTATCAGTCCACCCTCACTCAACATCAAAGATTCTATATAGGGGAGAAACTCTATGAGTCTCCACAGTGCTGGGAAATTTTCCCCTGGAAGTCCCAGGTCAGTGTACATGCAGGTGAGAGACGTTATGAGTGTGAGGAATGCAGAAAGTCTTTCCATCGGAAGGCCAACCTTATTCGACATCAGAGAAGAACACATAGCAGAGAGAAGCCCTACGAATGTATAGAATGTGGGAAAACCTTCTACTGTAAATCAGATGTCACTCGACATCAGAGAAGAACTCATAGTAGAGAGAAACCCTATGAATGTGTAGAATGTAGTAAAACCTTCTACTGTAAATCATACCTCATTCGACATCAGAGTAGAACTCATAGCAGAGAGAAGCCCTATGAATGTACAGACTGTACTAAAACTTTCTACTGTAAGTCAGATCTTACTCGACACCAAACAACTCATAGTGGAGAAAAGCCTTTTGAATGTAATGAATGCTCAAAAACATTCTACTATAAATCAGACCTTGCTAATCATCAGAAAACTCATACAGATGATAATCCTTATGAATGTAAAGAATGTAGGAAAACTTTCTGCTCCAAGTCAAGCCTCAATCAACATCATAGGATTCATACTGGTGAGAAGCCCTATGAATGTAATGTATGTAAGAAAAGTTTCAATTCTAAGTCAAACCTCACTGAGCATCAGAGAAGAACTCATACCAGAGAGAAGCCCTATGAATGTAGTGAATGTTGGAAATCCTTCTACTGTAGGTCAGAACTCATTAATCATCAGAGGACTCATACAGTGGAGAGATATTATGAATGTAAAGAGTGTAGGAAAAATTTCTACTGTAAGTCAAACCTCAACCAACATCAGAGAACTCACACAGGAGAAAAACCATATGAATGTAAGGACTGCAACAAAGCTTTCTATTGTAAGTCAAACCTCAATCAACATCAAAGAACTCATACAGGTGAAAAGCCTTTTGCATGTACAGACTGCAGTAAAGCTTTCTATTGCAAGTCAAGCCTTGTTAAACATCAAAAAATTCATTCAGGTGAGAAGCCATATGAATGTGAAGAATGTAGGAAAACTTTCTTCCAGAAGTCAGATCTCACTCGGCATCAGAGAACACATACAGGTGAAAAACCCTATGAATGTAAAGACTGTAGCAAAGCTTTCTATTGTAAGTCAAACCTCAACCAACACCGGAGAACCCATACAAATGAAAAACCTTATGAGTGTAAAGAATGTAGGGAAACATTCTATTCTAAGTCAGAGCTCACTGAACATCAAAGAAGTCATACAGATGAGAAGCCCTATGTGATGTTTAATATTGATTGTCAACTTGACAAGATCTGGAATCATCTGGGAGACAGGCCTCTAGCCATGCCTGTGAAAGATTATGTAGATTAAAAGTTAGCCTTTGGGAATGTCTGATTGGTTATCTTGATTTGGTTAATTGAAGTGGGAAGACCCACCATAAATATGGTGGCATCATTCCCTGGTCTGGGGTTATGTACTGCATGAAAAGGGGTGGCACCATTCTGTAGACAACATGAGAAGGAGAAAGATCAAGCATGACCATTTGTTCTTTGCTGCTTTGTTTGTGGATGCCACTTGTCAAGCCGCCTTAAGCTCCTGCCACAGTGACTTCCCTGCCATGAAGGCTTGTACCTTCAAATTGTGAGCCACAGCAAAAAGGAACTAATGCAGGAAAATGGTTCTGAGAAGGGGGGTCATTGTTCTGATAAACTGGACTGTCTGGTTCTTAGGAGATTGGCAATGGTTTTCATGAGGAATGTAGAAGATTTTGGAACTTTGGGCTAATAAAACATTTGAATGCTATGCTATAGAGCTTAATGGGCCATTCTGGTGGAAGTTTATAAGACCAGGAAGCAGAGGGAAGTACAGACTGGAGGCCTGGCTCACTCCCAAGGATTTAGAGGGGATTGACAATGTCAGGAACTGGGCTAAAGACCATTTGTGAGATCCTTTGCTAAGAATTTGGCTTCATTCTTTCTGTATTCTGAGAACTTGAGTAAAGGTGAACTTAAAAGAAATGTGCTGATTTGTTGGGTGAAGAAAATTTCCAAGTAGGAGTGCATTTAGGCAGTGACACAGCTCCTGGTAGCAGCACTTACAAACGTTTACATTGAGCAGAAGATATATACAAAAGGGATTAAAACTTGCACCGGCTCAAGGATTAAGAAATCGAAAGCAAGGCAACACCTGTAGGCAAGACATGTATGGAAAAGGGGGCTCTAATTGATAAAAGAGAAACACCCTGCTCTGCCCCAGAACAACAGGAAGTATGTTCTGAGTGCCCTGCTGCACCTATCCAAGGCTTCAGCTTGAGAGATTGCAGACTTATTTGAAAGAAAAGAGCCTAGATTGAAAATACAGATGAAGGGATTTCCTGCTCTTTGAAGACAATGCCCTAGGGAAGTCTTTCTGTAGGGCCAACACACTAGGTGACAGCTGTGATCCAAGAGGGCACTTCACAATTACAATGAGCAACAGCTCTTAGAAGTTTTGTGTATGTGATACTAGTTTCATATGAAAATTGAGGGGGCCACGTAGACTCGTTCTAGAGTTCAGAAACCTGCGGAGGCTAGGCATTGTAGGTCAGGACTGGAGGCTCTGAATGTCCACTGCCTGCACCTGTGAAGATGAACTCTAAGTTGTCACGAAGACTTTAGTACGTAAGTGATGCCAGGACCATGGGGGTATCCACCAAGGAAAGCTACTGGCAAGAAGTGGGGCCAGCCTTAGAGGGGTTGTCTGTGCCACAGGCAGCAGAGATGGAAGGATGGGACTTCTCAAGTACTTTGTATACAGATGATTCTATTACAAATCTCAGATGCTGGACATGGAACAACAAGATTTACTGTTTTCTCTGCTGGGTTTCAGCCCTGATTTTTGGTTTTTTTTTTCAGGAATGAGAATGTTTACTCTATGCTTTTATGTATTGGAACCATGTAACTTGCTTTTCGGTATTAAGGGACCTCACAATTAAAAGATTGTTTCAGATGAAACTTGGATTTTGGATATTAAAACAGTGTTTGAACTGTTGAAGACGGGAAGAAGGATGTTGTACCTAACTTTGCATTATGAAACGGCCATCAGCTTATGGGGACAAGAGAGGAAAAGTTACTGCTCAACAGTGATAACATGGCTAATATTGTCAGGTTGGCAGGATCTGGAATCACTTGGTAGATGAACCTTTGGGAAGGTCTGGGAGAATTTATCTGAAGTTAATTGGTAAGGGAAGAGTTACTTTAAATGTTTGCAGCACCTTCTATGGATTGGGTTCTAGATTGTATGAAAAGGAGAAAGATGGCTAAGATTGAACATTCATTGTACTTGTTCTTGACTGGATGCCACTGGACCAGCTCTTGTGCTCCTGGCACTATAACCTCCCTGTCTTGGGTGGATTCTACCTGTGAACTGTGAGCCAAAACAAAAACAAAAACAAAACAAACAAACAAAAAAAGCCCTTAATTTGCTGTGTCGGGATATTTTATAAAAGCCACAGGAAAAGTAAGTACCACACCCTATGAATGTTTAAACACGTAGGAGTTGGGGTTGGAAAGTTAGCTCAGCCATGAAGAGCATTGAGTTCTCTTCCAGAAGACCTAGTTTGGATTCTCTGCTCCAGCATGGCTCACAGCTGTCTGTAAATCCAGTTCCAAAGGCCTCCATGGGCAATGTACCCATATAGTGCAATACATATATGCAGGCAAAGCACTTGTGTACATATAATAACTTTTTAGAGCACGTTTGAAAACTTCCTCATGTAAGGCAAACTTTGACATCCCAGAATTCACACAGGTGAGAAATCATTTTAGAGTAAAGAATGTGGGAATCTTTCTACCAAAATTCAAATTTCAATAAGGATCAGAGAATTCATGGATGAGCAACAAGAAACTTTACTATAAGAACCCAATCTTTACTTGACATCAGAGAACACATTCAGGTGAGAAACTTGAATGTAAAGTGAGTACAGAGTGTCTCAGAGACACCACCCCACCCATTTCTCTGGAAGGGCTGTATTCCTTGGAGGCTTCAGTCTCACTACCTTGGTAAACACAGCATGACTAATATATTCCAGCTAGTTATGTTTCCCTTACTGAATATATTGCATCTGGGAGTCTCCATCCCTACCTGTCAGTTTGCTGAGCATATACACAGTTGTATCCATTCCTTGTCACCCAGTGAAGGCTGTACATCTTGGAGACTCAAGCTTGTTCATTGCACATATGAGGGCTATATAACCAAGAAGCTCCAGCCCCTGTGAGCACATTGTACCTGAGAGACTTCAACTCATCTTATCACCCAGGTGAAGGCTGTGTTGTGATAATCACCAGCTTCACATTATCCCCATAATCACAGCATAGCCAGCAGTTCCAACTTATCCTGTGGCCCCATTGAGGGTAATGCATGGGAGCCTCCAGCCCAGGTAAGTAAAGTGCTTGGTGAGCACCATCCTGTCAACTGTTTCAATGTACACAACACATCTAAGGAGCTCCCAGCCTCACCTGTTGCCTTGGTGACCAAAGCATTCCTGAGTGGCTCTTGCCAATCCCATTACCTCAATAAGCACAGGATGAGTGGGAGGCTCCACTCCCATCCAGTTTGTAGGTTATACCCAGAAGTCTCCAAACCTCTCCATCATCCAGGTGAGAGCTGTATGTTCAGGAGACTTCAGAGCACAGTTTACACCTGGGAAACTACAAGTCAGCCTGTGATCTTGGTAAGCCTAGGGTGCTCAAGAGGATCTATCCCTCAGCTTATTTCCAAGGCAGAAGCTTTATGTCTGGGAAGCCCTAGCTCTGTCCATCACCTCAGTGAGCACAGAATTCCAAGAATACACTGGCTTTACTCATTACCCTGACAGGCATAGCATTCCTGGAAGTTTCCAGACAAAACCATCTTGGTGAGGATTGTGTGGCCAGTCATGGTAATACAGCATGAACATGATACTTTAATTCTGTCACCTGCATGAAAACAGAATACCTGGAGTCTCAGAATAAGGGAATTGACAGAAGAAAAAATTCAACCAAAGACCTAAGTCCAGATTGCAAATCCCAATATAAAAGCACATTTTCTATGAAAAGGCAAACTCCTCTAAAATTATGTATTTTATAATAATGGTATCTAGTGAAAGCAATTGAAAGTTTTAAGTATGTTCAAATAACTCAAAGAAATAATCTTTAAATAAATAATCCCAAGAGAAAGCTTAACTGAAATAAGATTGACAAACTATATGTAAAAAGGAATTTACTATGGAGATAGAAATACTGAAAAGACAGGAACTGAAATACTGGAAATTAAAAATATGAAATCTGTGGAAAGTCTCATGAATGAAACACATCACAGGGAGGACAGACTATTTTAACCTGAAGAAAAAGTGGAGAAATTAAAACAAAGATAATTGGATGATTCAGAGGAAACAGTGTCTTCCAGACACAACAGGACTGGTGCATATGAACACACAGAGACTGATAGCACACACAAGATTTGCACATATTTAAGCTAGACTCCCAGCACTGAGAAGGGGAAGTGGACACAGTATTCCACCCTTATCAAGAAGCTGTGTGTAATTGATAGTGACTGGCAAAGAGAAAAGTATTCTCCAGTATTCTCACTGGTTTTATCAGTGACACTCCAGTGAAGGGCCCATGCCCAGGAGTAGTTGGCCAACACAAAACTCAATAGTACTTTTGTGGAGTTTTTGTTTCAGTTTTGCTTTGTTTGGACATTTTTGGTCTTATTGATCTTTTGCCTGTTTTATTTTGATTGGGGTGGGGTGACTCAAAGAGATATTTGTACTCTATAGAATAATTCATCAGAGCTGAAAATTGGAAACAGCTTATGACAATCAATAGTTGAATGAATTAATTTCAGTTGTTTAAATGCATAGAAGAATGTGCACAAAATTAAAGAATTTATAGTATGAGTGGACTGACCACATCATGTTGAGTGAATTAAGGCAGTCCCAGAATGAATATGACTCCATGCATATGAGTTACCTCATATAGGCAAATTTGGGCAGTGGAATTATCAGGAGATGAAGGTAGGGATAAAGGAAAATTATAACGAGTATAGAGCTTCTATCAGTGTTACAACTCTGGAGGGAAAGGTATCCTGACTGTAGGAAGCCAGGCTATACCTATTGCTCTGTTCTGGTGGGGGATGGTTTCCCAGGAGGGATGTAGTAACCCTGAGCCTCTCCAAGAGAACCATTGCAGCCCAACTCTGCTCTACTCTGCTAAGAGGGTTTCTGCACAGAGATGTCCATTGCTTCTCTGCTCCATTCTACTCCCTGCAGAAATGTAGCAATTCTGCTCCTGCTCCAGTGAAAGTTGTCACTTCTTTGCCCTGCTCCACTATGGCAAAAGAAGGTCTTCACCCAAAACTCATTCAAGAGATTTATTGTGAGGAAGGAATCCAGGAAAGTAGCTGCCTCTGCCATGGGGGAAAAATTCGGCTCCCAAGTGAACAGGTATGGGGCTTATATAGGGCTTCTTTGGGGTGGAGTTTTTTTCAGGGTGAAGATTTTGAGGGTGGGAATGGGTTGGATTTGACATGCTCAGAGATTGGCTAGATTTCATGCTCTGGGACTGGTTAGCTTTTGTGCTGAGTTGGTCAGGGGCAGAGTGTGTTACTTGGGCTCTGGTTTCAGGGCCAAATTGTGTTTCTAACTGGGGGTTAGAAACAAGGAGAGATTATCATTAGACTACTTCCTATTGAATTGGAGCATCGAAGTTCTTATGACAATCTTGATATTCATTGTCAGGATATAACTGGTTGCTGCATGTCTCTGGCTCTGTAACTAGGTGCTGGTAATCCTATAATAGTAATTTGTTAAGTTTTTAAGAAATCTTTTTGATCTGTTGTTGAAGAAATCTAGTCAAGAGGTTTATAAGGCAGGGTGCATTTAGTAAGACCAAGAAAAAGAGAAGAGGGGTTAAGAATAGTAGCATCCAGTTCCATATATGACGATTAGTGACTCTCTGGCTAGAGGTACCAAGCTGTTTATATGTGTGAAGATTCATTTGGAGTTGTTGGATATTGTCTTTCACTATACCTGATTAACACAGAAGCAGCATTCTTCCCTGAGAAAGAGACAAGGACCCCCTCTCTCGGCTGTTATTAAATCTAATCCTCTCCCATTTTGTAGTACTGAGGTGGCCAGTGAGTCTTTTTGACCCTGAGGGTAAGGATAGCCTGAGCTGCCCATTGAAAATCCTGGATGAATTGCAAGGAAAGGCATTGGAATTAGCTAAGGAAGTAGTCAGTGCCACTGCTCCAGTGGCTATAACTGCAGTTATGCCCAGGGCTGCTAGAAAGGGTATGGCCTGGATTGCTTGTTCGTCATGCCATGTTGCTATGGACTTGGTGATGGGACTTGGCAAGAGTTCTTCACCAAGTTCCACCTTTAACTTAGGAGAAAGTTACACCACAGCACAAATGCCAGGCCACATAGCAGATAAGTAGTGATAAACTTGAGAGGCTCAGAGAATAAAGGCATTGTGAATGTTTGGACATAGGGGCTGGATGATAGTACTAAGGATAATGATATTACTGCAGTCTGTGGAATCCAGTGTATCCACAAGGTGTGTTTTTGAGGAATGAAAGCAGTCCAATATGAAAGAGAGGAATGTGAGAGATATAAGGGTTGGTAGTGACATTTGGCTCTGAGCAATTAACAAGTGTTAAGGTGAAAAAATCTAGTGAGGCCACAAATGATGGTTGTGAGTTTGGGGCTGATCCAAGAGGGACACATAACTAGCTTTCTCCAAAGAGGTCAGGCTGAGCATTATACAATAGTGAATATGCAGAAGTTAAGGTCTGAAACAAGAGACAGTGTAGTGTGACAGAGAGGTAGAATCAATATCACTAAAAAGGGTGGTATTAATGATGTAAGAACCTTTGAGAAGCTTCAGACCACTTCTTCTACCATATCTATACCTAGAGGTCATGAAAGTAGGACGGACACCCTCTGTATTTTGAGTGTGCCTGGTGATCAGCT